TTTTTTTTTTTTTTTTTGGTGTGCATGAGAAAACGTTTAAAGTGGGTTAGGTAAATTAAATAAACCGTTTAATAAACTATAAATATGTGAATTAGGTAAAATTTGTCGTTTAAACTTTAAAGTAGATTTAGTAAATTAATAAAATGTTCCTTAATGATGCATTTATCTTACTTTAAATGTAGAAAGATAAATAGAGATACTTATGATAGAAGCATTTTGACACATTTGAATATTCAATATTTTACTACCTCGTAATAGTGTTGATGCCGAATAAAAATATTTACTGTCATCAGAAATCTTAATCGTCCGATAATAACCTTCAAACAAGGAAAATCATTACAACTATCACGCACAAATCAACAGTGAATTCCAATTTAAACTCGTGACTTTCAGCCCATTTGGGGTAGGAGTCGAGCCTCAACCTCAACCCTTATGGGGTGTTATTTACTTTAAAAAAATAAAAAAATACTCTGATTCGAACTTGAACGGCTAGGCATATCCGAAGTTGAATCGTAGTTTAAGCACATATCAACCCAAAAGAATGAAATCTAAAAAAAGTTGAAGATTTTGGCATAAAACTACCAAGTATTGGCCAGACACCGATGGAAATACGTTAGACGTTGTGCCAATATGAAAGAGCGGAGCTTGAGAAAAACTAAGAGCATGTTTGTGTATGGATTTTCAAAAAAAAAAAATTCCAACATTTTAACTCAACCACTTTTTTTAACCCAACTTTAAGTCAACCTCGCTATTCAACATAATTAAATAATATCAATCAATCATTAATACACACCACATCAACCTTAATTCACTATTCATCCACTCACATTATTTTAACTAACTATCACATCAAACCATATCTCTCTTACTTTTACATCAAATCATTTTAATTATTTTATTTTAAATATTATTTTAATAAACTCACTAACAATTGACCATACCACCTTTTTCAAGATTAACTAAACCAAACCAAAAATCCTAAACAAAACAAAAATTTTCATAAACAAACATGCTCTAAGAGGTGTGGAGATTCATTGTCTTGCTTTATAGAAAATGAAAAGATTTTATATGAAAGAGAGTGGTGTTGGGCATGATTGTTTATAAAATATTTCATACAAAATATTTCATTTTGGTTAACTATGGTTAAAGTTGAAAAAGTAGTGTGGTTAATAATTAGTGATATTTAAAAAATATATTAAAATAATATTTATAATAAAATGACTAAAATTGATTTGATATAGAGTATGGGATAAATGATTGGAAATGTTTGGTAGTTAAAGTTAGTGAGTGGATGAATAGTGAATTAAAGTTGATGTGATGTGTAAGAATGATTGGTTTGTATTATTTAATTATATGAATAATATTAAAGATAGTGAGGTTGAGTTAAAGTTTGAGTTGAAAATATTTGAGGATACATATTTTGTAAACAATCACCCCCTTAGTTCTCTAGTGTAATTTAACATATGAGTTTTTAAAATACAAGGTCTGATAGGTAAACTATCAAACTGGGGCCTAAAAGATTTTTTTTTTCTCAATTCGGGATTTAAATGTTATAAAACTATCAAATTTTGTCCTAGAATTAAGAAAACTCAAAACACAATTAAATTGAGAGTTAATTTAAAATTTTAAACATCAAATATATTACAAAGTAAAAAAAAAAAGAATATTAAGGAAAATACGAGATTGTGGAGAAAATTAAGGAAAATATGAAGCTCTTGCTCGTTTTTCTTGTTATCGTCTATTTATTTATTTATTTTTAATATTATGCAACTGTTTATTTATTAATTTATGTGAGTAGGCACCAATCTTTTTATTTTTTAATCCTTTAGTTTAATGGTGTTATGTGTTTTGTTAACTATATGACTTAATTTGATAGTTTCATAACCTTTAAGTCCCGATTTGAGAAAAAATCTTTCAAGTCTTGTATTAAAAAAAGTTCATATTTGTGTTTTTTTTAGGTGTGCATAGTTTTTTTTGCTAGTTAAATTGTGTTTGACTTTAGTCTTCTATACGAAGTTGGTGCCTCCCTTTTCGAGTTTTTGTTGTGTATTGTTATTTATTGGCGAAGCTTGTACCCTCTTGTCATATGTGCAATTATAAGGAGATTGGTCTAGACTTTATTTTGATTCGAACAAATACAAAATAAAATAAAAAAGAAAATATCTAATTCTATAGACGAAACCAACTTTGTAACTAATAAAATAAAATAAAAATATTGTAACTAAAATCAAATTAACTTTTCATAAGACATGATGATATAAGTCCGGTCGGCCTATTATATTCTTTAAATAAAAATAATTCTTGTAATTTCAAGTATTATAAATGTACTTATTTTATTTTAAAATAATACTTATATTATCAAGTATTATAAATGTATTTATTTTATTTTTTTTAGTACAATATTTGTTTAATGAAGTATGTATATTTGCGAAAAAACATGTTACAAACCCAGACAGAATGATCCGATAACGAACTTTAAGCATTTCCCACAAATATATTCATAATTGAACTCCCTAGAAAGACCACAAATGCGCCAGAATATCGATTTAGTCCAGTAGCTTCTACCGGGACCTTGGAACTTCCAGACTTCTCCTTTTGCTCAACAAAAGCAACCATCCTTATGGATCCCTGCTATCACCATTGCCATTCAGAACTCGCGCAGGCTTTGAGAATCCAACAGAACACTTTCCAACTCGATCGAAAATCTGTTTTAATCAAACGAAACTCATCAGCAGTTATATTCTTCATCAGTTTTGCTTCATCTGCCTTTTGCGCTGCCTGTCCATATAAAGGTACGATTCGTGCTTTCCTTCTGCATTTCATATGGGTTTGACCTGAACTGTGTATGCATTTTTGTTTTTCTTTTAACCTCTTCGTGTTGCGTTGTTCAGTTGGCCCTGTTTCGAAGGTCGAAACAGAGAAACATGATTGGTTTTCTTTCTTATATTCTTAACATTTTTCGAGGGATGATGTTTCGAAAACCCTTTTTGTGGGCACTTTTGTGAGAGAATTGTGTAGTGATACAGTGCTTGTGAATTTTGCATTGTCAAGCCCTGTTTTGAGCTTCTGTTGCAGAGATTAATTCATCATTCTTGTTCGATGAGTTATCAGCAGCCATTGGGATTTTTTTCGTCTTCAATCTTGAAATTAAGCTAGTTAGCGTTTTAGAAATCTACTTGTTTTCGTGTCATATGGAGAAACTCTGAACAATTTCAATTGAGGTGGAGAAGTAGTTGTGAATATCCAGGAGCAAATAAGCGTTGTCATATTCAATGTAACTTTAAACTGTTTATTTTTTAATAATTGTGCTTCCTGCTTGCTTTAGGAGTGCCATATTTTATAGAATCAACCAATTATATTTTCCTCATGGTTCCTTTGTTTGATTTTGAGTAGTTACTGGTTTACTTGTAGGATTTTAAGCTAATTGCTTGTCTTTAACTTACTTTTTCAGATAATTTCTGCAGAATTTTCTTTGAGTAATAGTCCTATTTCCAGCCATGAATCCTGAGAAATTCACTCACAAGACAAATGAAGCCATTGCTACAGCCCACGAGCTGGCCATTTCTTCCGGCCATGCCCAGTTCACTCCTCTCCACTTTGCTGCCGCCCTTATTTCAGATCCCCACGGAATCTTCCGGCAGGCGGTTGCCGGAGCTGCTGGCAGTGAAGAGGCGGCCGCCTCCCTTGAGCGGGTTATTGACAAGGCCTTGAAGAAGCTCCCCTCTCAATCCCCGCCTCCCGACGAGATCCCTGCTAGCACCTCCCTCATCAAGGTAATCCGCCGTGGGCAGTCCCACCAGAAGTCTCGTGAGGACACCCATCTCGCAGTCGACCAGCTCATCCTTGGGCTTCTAGAAGATTCCCAGATCCAGGATCTTCTGAAGGAGGCCGGGGTGACGATATCTAAGGTGAAAGCGGAGGTAGAGAAATTAAGGGGTAAAGAGGGGAAGAAAGTCGAGAGTGCGACTGGGGACTCGACTTTCCAGGCTCTGAAGACGTACGGCCGTGACCTGGTCGAGCAGGCCGGGAAGCTCGATCCCGTGATCGGCCGGGATGAGGAGATTCGGAGAGTGATCAGGATTTTATCAAGAAGGACGAAAAACAATCCGGTGCTCATAGGCGAGCCTGGGGTGGGAAAAACTGCAGTTGTTGAGGGTTTGGCTCAGAGGATAGTTGATGGGGATGTCCCGAGCAACTTGGCTGATGTGAGGCTGATAGCCCTCGACATGGGAGCCCTGATTGCTGGGGCGAAGTACAGAGGAGAATTTGAGGAAAGGCTTAAGGCTGTCCTGAAAGAGGTTGAGGAGGCCGAGGGGAAGGTGATTTTGTTTATTGACGAGATTCATTTGGTGTTGGGGGCTGGGAGGACTGAAGGATCCATGGATGCGGCTAACCTGTTCAAGCCGATGCTTGCAAGGGGTCAGCTGAGGTGCATTGGGGCTACCACTTTGGAGGAGTACAGAAAGTATGTGGAGAAAGATGCAGCTTTCGAGAGGCGTTTCCAGCAGGTTTATGTGGCCGAGCCGAGTGTGCCTGACACGATCAGCATATTGAGGGGTTTGAAGGAGAAATATGAAGGGCATCATGGTGTTAAGATTCAGGATCGTGCACTTGTGGTTGCAGCTCAGCTTTCTTCTAGATACATTACAGGTGTGTATATGTGTAATAGCTTTGTTGTGAATTTTTTTTATTTTACTTATATAATAATTTAGATTGTAGTACTTATTTTTTTTTAATTGTAGGGAGACATTTGCCGGATAAGGCGATTGACCTGGTTGATGAGGCGTGTGCGAATGTGAGAGTCCAGCTCGATAGTCAACCCGAGGAGATTGATAATCTAGAGAGGAAAAGGATTCAGTTGGAGGTCGAGCTCCATGCTCTCGAGAAGGAGAAAGATAAGGCCAGTAAAGCTCGCCTAGTCGAAGTAAGTAACTTCTTTTCACCTTCCATATGGAGCTCGTTATGTTTCATTTTATTTGGCTGGTGGTCTGACATTTTTGTGATGGAAATGTATAGGTCCGGAAAGAATTAGACGATCTGAGAGATAAACTGCAGCCACTCATGATGAGATACAGAAAGGAGAAGGAGAGAATAGACGAGCTGAGGAGATTGAAACAGAGGCGTGATGAACTTTCGTACGCTTTACAAGAAGCTGAAAGGAGGTACGATCTCGCACGAGCAGCCGACTTGAGATATGGAGCTATTCAAGAAGTTGAGTCAGCAATTGCTAAGCTTGAAGCTAGCGGAAATGAAGATGGGATGCTCACGGAGACTGTGGGACCCGATCAGATTGCTGAGGTCGTGAGCCGTTGGACGGGCATACCCGTGACCCGTCTCGGACAGAATGAAAAGGAGAGGTTAATTGGTTTGGCTGACAGGTTGCACCAGAGAGTTGTGGGCCAGGATCAGGCCGTAACTGCAGTTGCAGAGGCTGTTTTGAGATCAAGGGCTGGGCTTGGACGGCCCCAGCAGCCAACGGGCTCTTTTCTGTTCTTGGGCCCGACAGGTGTTGGGAAAACGGAGCTTGCAAAGGCTCTAGCTGAGCAGCTCTTTGATGACGATAATCTGATGGTGAGAATTGATATGGGGGAGTACATGGAGCAACACTCGGTTGCTCGATTGATTGGAGCTCCACCTGGGTAAGTTTTGAGGTTCTCTGACAAATTAGTTTGGGAGTGTTTTAGTTAATTATGAAAGGAATAGCTTGTGCTTTGAGCTAATTATGAAAAATCTCTACACTTTCAAAGCAACAAGAAATATCCCTTTTGCTTTGATCTTTTTTCGAAAAAAACCTGTGTAACCTTTCAAAGCAGCAAAAAATATCCCTTGTGCTTTGATTTTTTTTTTTTTTTTGGGAGAAAAACCTGTCTAAACTTTCACAGCGACAAGAAATGTCAGCCATGTCAAATCTTTTCAGTTTCGTAATAGTATTACAGTTAGCCCCATAATTTGAAATTTTTAAGTAAGTTTTAGTATATTATCTTTTGTAATATGTTTGAGTTAATTTCATCTTTTATATGATGTTGATGATGATAATTGTGTAACTTAACGATGTTTGTTAATCTTTTTTCAGCTATGTTGGGCATGAAGAAGGTGGACAATTGACGGAGGCAGTGAGAAGGCGACCTTATAGTGTCGTTCTATTTGATGAGGTGGAGAAGGCTCACCCATCGGTTTTCAATACTTTGCTGCAAGTCTTAGATGATGGGAGATTAACTGACGGTCAAGGTCGAAGAGTTGATTTCACGAATACTGTCATCATCATGACCTCAAATCTCGGGGCAGAGTATCTCTTGAGGGGACTGATGGGAAAATCCACAATGGAGAGTGCTCGTGAAATGGTGATGCAAGAGGTATGTATATTTAGTTATTTAGTTATTTCATCTTTTGATCTAATAGATTTCTGCTATATGATATTTGGAAAATCTTAATTTTTTTATTTATTTTTTAATTTCGGTTGGCCAGGTGAGGAAGCATTTCAAACCTGAGCTGCTCAACCGATTGGACGAGATTGTAGTGTTTGATCCTCTCTCTCACGACCAGCTGAGGAAAGTGTGTCGTCTCCAGTTGAAAGACGTGGCAACCCGTTTGGCTGAGAGGGGTATTGCTTTGGGAGTTACTGAAACTGCACTAGATGTAATATTAGCCGAAAGTTATGATCCGGTAAGTATATGTTTTCCAGGAATGGTTAATGCTTCATGATTATTGATTTATCTGCCTAAAAAATCAAGAATCAGATACATGAATGCTTTTCACAAGTTGTAATTATGTGCTAATTTTGCCTATAGGTATGTTTTTTATTTGTGTTTCGTGATTGATTTATCTGCCTAAGAAGTCAAGAATCGAATACATGAGTGCTTTACCACAAGTTGTAATTATGTGCTAATATTTACTGGATCATGATTTTTTTTTTACGTGTTTCAGGTTTATGGCGCACGTCCCATAAGAAGATGGCTGGAGAAAAGGGTAGTGACGGAGCTCTCCAAGATGCTCGTGCGAGAGGAAATTGATGAGAACTCGACTGTGTACGTAGATGCTTCTTTGGATGGTAAAGAATTGGCTTACCGTGTGGAGAAGAATGGTGGACTCGTAAATGCAGCCACAGGAGAGAGATCTGATATACTGATTCAGATTCCGAATGGGGCGACTCGTTTGGATGCTGCTCAGGCGGTGAAGAGAATGAAGATTGAAGAGATTGATGATGATGAGATGGATGAGTAAATAGTATAAGTAGTCTCCACTTAGTTTGTCTTGTGTTTGTGTGTCTTTTTTTTTTTCTGAGTTTTTGGTGATGTACCGTTGTCAATATACGAGTTTTTCGCTAGTATAGAATAAGCCTTAGAATGCTTCTTTGGATGTTTTGTCAGGACACGTGTCAAGTGAAAAAAGTACTTGAACTTTCACCAGTAGTAAAAAAAGTTCTGTATGATAAAACAGTTGTAATACCTTATATTCAAGAATAATCAGTTGCAACTGTATTTTACGTGTTCATCTTATTGGTGCTTGCAACTGTACCTCTCTTCATTAACAGTGTAGCTACAGAATGGGCAAAGTGGAGTGTATTGTTCTTTCACTTATTGGTACTTGCATCGGTTTATTGCTACATACTATTCGTTCATTATTCGAAGTGGAGAGATAAGTCGCCACGTGAGCCGAACCTTCCATGAGTCCTACTTGTCTCATCTTTTATTATTTCCGACTGACTTGGCGGGCATTGCTCTGATTCCATGAATAAATTGCACGCTATGCAGCAAGGCCAGCATTCTACAACTATGTCGTCATCATGTTCATAGTAAATGACTAAATGTTGCGGTATTATTTGCTCGTGGACTGGCTGGAATTGGTTTTGGCTCAGGATTTTGGTACACTTTTCTTTCCCTTCACACATTTCGAAAGAATCTATGATTGATACATATGTTTTGTTTGTTGTCGTGCTATATTTTTGGCCAGGTTGTACAATTTCATGATTATCTGCCGTCACTCCCTTTATCTTCCGCTCTAAAGCAAGACTCTTAAGAAAACACAAAACCAACTTTATGACTAAATTAAATTGAAACACTGTCAGAGAACTGAACTGGAAAGACAATTTATCAAGTCTCGTCTGCAAATTCAACAAGCATGTGAGCTTAATTGAAATTTTGGCCAAACCGCAGTTTATCAACGCTTACATTCAATCCTGTAAGTGTGAGGATTTTTCAATATCGTATCACACACTCATTTTGGTATATCGGTTAAAAATTGGTACTGCGCATCCATGGGATAAACGATAAAATCAACAAGTCCATTCAATTTGCATTTCAAATGAATCGAGATACTTTATCTATGTATTTAGAAAGCGAACAAAAAAGAGAGAGAGACAAAACGAGCATGAAAAGGCCGAAAGTCCCCATGATTAAGGTATGATTACTATTCTCAACGCTAGTATTTTGAATAAGGAAACAAGTTACTTTTGAACTACTTACTTAATACTCTACTATTAATTAATAGTAAAACATACTTATATATGGGAGGTATCATCATCAGTAGACCTCGAACTGCCACAAAATACAATGAACTATACCCCATCATGTCTGTTAAAAAAAAGTTGGGTTACAGTAGTCTCTCGATAGAGTACTCTTGGTCAAACCCTAGATAACAATCTGAAACAATGATCAACTTCATACCCTGAGGAACAAGAAACTCTCGAGTTAGAAGGCACGAGCACGAACATTAATAGTCGAGAAAAAAAAAAAGAAAGAAAACAAGGTTCACCCTAGATCTGACCAAGCACAAAAACATTCAAGATGTGAATTCTGTATGAAAAAAACTTAGTTTCGGACACAACACCAACATTTAATGTGGAAAACATATATTTTCATCGCAAAATAATGTTCTGAAACAAAAGTTTAAGCATTAAAAAAAAAAAACAATGATAAATATTAAATAGACCAAAATATCTAAAAATGATGCTCATTTATTGACACTGAGTCGAAACTTATCCTACCTGGGTGTCGTTAACATTGGATGGTAGATCCATGCTTATTTGTACGAAATCCATGAAAGACACTCTCTTCAATGCATAGAGCTGAGAGGTAGAGCTATTGCCGAGAACCAACCACCAAGCTTCATCTTTTACCTGTGTAATGTGACAGTATTAACTATTTTTTTCTCCAATAAATGATATTTTTCTCTACCTGAAAAGCAGCCTGGCTAACCTTAGGAAATCGAGGAGCAAAAGCTCGTGATGTTTTCTTGTGTCTGTTTGTCCTTTCTAGTCTTATGTTGAGAGTAACACGAGGATTATCATTAGCCATTCGTTTCTGAACTCTTAATCGTGCTTGAATTCGGGGAAAATGCTGCATTTGCTGCACATGGAAAATAACAAAGGAAGAGAGTAGAGTGGGTGAAAATGAAATAGTTGGATGCACCAATATAGTACACGTATTACAAAATATTCTAAAACTGTTAAAACACATTTCAACGGAAGACAATACTTTTGATGGAGACGAGATTGCGCTCGCCTTCTTGGAAAAACAATGATCGGCTCCCGGCTTAAATATAATTGTTTATTTCCCTATTATTTTACTTTTATTACTATTAGTTGCTTATTTTAGTATGGTAGGTGCATATTTATTTTTATCTAGTCTTTTTCTTGATAGGCAAGATAGATAATTAGGGAGATGAGGACACTATTTATTATCCCTCCGTTGACGATAACTTTTTAGCAAATAAAATACAGAAATCTTGAGATTTATCTCTTTTGTTCCCCGCTCGCTGCGTTTATAATATCAAATTGAGTTCAGCAATTACAGAATGTGTTCCAATTGCTTTAATGAAGCCATTAACTGTACCTCGTGTAATCTCGTAGCAATGGAACTATTTAAGAGACCTTGCAAATTTGCAGGAGGAAGATCTAACAACTGCAGGACATTTGTGATTCCTCTCTGGCTCAATGTCGTGACAAGATCTTCCGTCATGCATGGTAGCATCCACAAGGAGGAATCTCTGTCAAACCATAATCCCTGCAATATCACAAAATAAAAAAATATAAATGGCAAAAGAATACGTGAAATAAGAGCGTTCCGGTTTCAGCAAAGATAGATTACAATTTTATGATGCCAAAAAGAAACAAAAGAAAAGCGAAGGAACTTAAGAAGCCAACAATATATATACGTGCATGTAGAAAAACAGCAATGCAAACTAGCAGGTTCGGCGAAACAATGCCCCCTTGTGCAGGTTCAAATGGAAATTTGGATCTAAGGAGGTGATTGGAAATGGATTATTTTGATTTTGTTTTGATTTATTGGATAAAGTGAGTTATCTTCGAATAAAGTTGATTTTTGAGTTTGTATTTAAAATGTAATGATTAAAGTTGATGTGAAGTAAAAGTAGGGAGAGGTGATTAGAACTTTAGAAGTGATGGGTAGTTTATGTGGGGATGAATAATGAATTAAAGTTGATGTGATATGTGATGAAGATTGATTGATATTATTTAATTATATTGATAAAAAGTAGGAGAGTTAAGTTGGATTTTGAGTTAAAAAGGTTTAAAAAATTTATACAGTTACTCAAAACAAAAAAAACCCAATTCCAATCGCCCCCAAGAGTCCATCTCCATAATAATAGATATTTGCTGGAAAATTTAGACTGCGCTTTTGGACAAGTAACTCCCCCAAAAAGTTGACTTCAAAGAATTTGAAACTGAAGACTTCTCAGGAAATAACTAATCAAAAGGTCCATATTCAGATTGTTCTTTCTCATAAGTAGTACCAAACAAGCAATTTTTAATCAATAAAAGCAATCTATTGTGATAGGAATGTAGAGAATACCTGCATGACCATTTGCAGAAGATGCATACAAGTAAGCGTACTAGAAAGCCATCCGCTGTTGGCACATAGATCTATCATTGCCTGGATAATACGAATACTTTGATCCAGCACCGACTTCAAATCAGTTACATAGTCGGTGATCGGTAGTTCAACTCGAGAAAAGTGTGCCTGTAGCCCGATTAAAATACATGTCAAAGGACAGAACCGTTTGTAATTTGTCAAAGTAACCAAACATGCATATTGGAAAGTTCTAGATATTCTAATGTCAGTTGAAGGGAATCTTAAGTTACAAAAAATCAAGTGAACTTGACAATGATGATGTGAAAACAAGGATTAACCTGAAAAAGAAGATTTGTCTTCACATGAGGATCATCAAGCAGGTTCTTGTCAACCATGTAGCGAACCTTACTGGATAAGTCTGCATTGTAGTTTTCCTACAGTGCAATTAAAGGTGAAGCGTCACTAATATAGCAAATGTATAACACAGACTACAGAGGTAGACAAAATATAAGAATAATAACGACAACATCAACAAAAGAAGACATAAAGGAACATGTATAGATGAAATGTCCAACATTGACAACTCATGATCTTTGTGACTTCTGAAAGATAAAGAAAACCATATACTCTAAAAAGCAATAAAAAATACAGCTTTGCAGTCAGTTTAGGCTGTCATTCTGTTACTTTAGAATGTCGTAAAGATGCATAAGCAAATGAACTATGAAACAAAGAAAAAGATAATAGAAAGGAACGAAGGTCGACACAAATGAACGTAAATAAAAAAAAAAAAAGAAAAAAATGTTGGCTACAGTTTCACAATGTAGAGGTGATGACTAGTTGTCTGAGCAATTTGCAGTACAATAAGTCTCAGCTGAATATTTTTAAACCATTTATGGGATCAAGAATGCAACCAACTTACTTCATTGTGCCGCACGGGAAGCTCATCATATTCAGAAGCACCAGATAATACGTGGAGGAAAACCTAAAACAGAAAAATAGTACAAGAATGGCATTATACTAAATATAAAAAGCAACAAATTCACATTGGGTGTCATGGGAGGCAACTAACTTCAAGTGATGTGTTTGCTTCAATATTTGAAGCAAACATCGACAGAGTAGTGTATTTTAGATAATACTGTGATGCTATTGAACCCAACATCATTGGCTCCACCCTGTCCTCATCAATTTTAATGCAACCACTGTCTTCAAGATCCTCAAATGTGCTTACTGCTAAGCTGTTAAAAGATCAACTACTGAGATACAGCATTTTCAACGGAGAAAAATGAATTCCATTATAAGCACTTCAATAAAAATATCACCTTGACAAGTAAGAACTCAGAGTTCCAGGATCTGTGTCCTCTAAGCCATAATAAGCTGGATTAACCACCTGGCACAAGAACAACAACTTGTGGGCAACAAAAGATAACATTTCTGATTTTCAACTTTTTTCATACATTTAAATATCGCATAATTGAGTTGAACATTTTGTGTAAGATGTAAGACATCCGCATGAAGTTGATTACATTTACAAAAGGTCAATCTTTTAACAGATAGACAAACCTGGCACGAGTGAGTCAAAAAAAGATATTATACATAGATAAAAATATAGATTCTGGAAAAATGTAACACTTGAAAGACAAATTGAGTGTATGTTTATGTGTCAGCATTTCCCATAATCTGACATTCTATAGGGCCACCAAGTTGTCAAAAGTTACCGCTTGTAAAGTAAATGATACTATTAAGTGTTACCAGGCCTGTGTTTTCCTAAAACTGTACAACACAGGAAGTGAAACTATTTCATTGAGAATAGTGATTCATTAGCTATTATATTCGCGCCAGCCATTGTGCAGAGGGTATAGTGACATGCTTTGTCCAAAACAGTATACCGTAGTCGCATGACAGGACACAATATATCATGTTCAAATTTCAGAACATGAAATAGCATACCAATCTTCGGAATAAATATGTCCAGGTGAGATAATGTATTGCATCCTCTTTATGACTAATTGTTCCAGAAACGATCTCAGCATTGAAGTTATCATGCAACTGTTCTCTGAGACTGCTTTCAACTGGAAATGGTTCATAGAGAAACTGCAAAAAGAGTTGAAAAGAGTTTTCACTTAATGTGAAATGAGTCATGTAACGTTATACCAAAAATATTTCAACATAACAGACCTTTTTGTAGAAGCTTTTTTTTGGTTCATGAACGAGAATGATAGCTTTCCCATGTTGATCGTACTGAGGCCTTCCTGCTCGACCCATCATTTGTAAAATATCGGTAATAGGAAAATCGACATATCTTTTTGCTCTTGCATCAAAATATTCTGTTCCCTGATCACAAAGCTCATAAAAGATGATTTATGAATACAATGACAAATAAATTTGAAGAGAAAAATTAAAAAGAAAAACATAGCAAGTGTAGTCCAATTAATGCAAATTCAAGCACACATCGGCAAAATAAAATGTTAGGTGACTCGTTAACTCAAAGTGGGACAAGCAATATATCTTTTATCTGTTTCCAAGTGAAATCAGTGGCCGGAAAATTAGGCAGGAGGCTTCTAAGAATTATAGTATAAACATTGGCGAACCACTGCTACTCATAAACACTTTCCTTCTTAAGACTTAGTTATTTAACCTGAAAGAATAAGACCTGGAGAACACAACACAGATTCTTCAGGATTCTTTTTTGTTTCATTATCAGGTGGTATCTATAGCTTATAACAAACTAAAACTTCTGTAATTAGCATGGCAACAAAAATATAAAAATAAAACATACAACCAGTTTTATAGGTTGAGGCTCGTGAAATTCATAAAACAGGTTACCAACTTCCTTGTTTGGACAATGAAAATTTTATAAGTTACAGTACTCTTCTAGCAAATATTTCATCAATCTTTGTTCAGTTGAAAGTTAAATTCCACTCCATTCCTCAACTGGCTGCAATCTCTTATTTGTGCACAAATTTATAAAACTTTAGCTGTTCAACCTTTGTTTTCATTAATCATGTCAGAGCTCAGGAAAATGTGATATGATAAGATAGTTTAAAAATTTCTGAAGTCATTGGCGATAAAACAGTTTAGAAATTTGTTTGCTTGATTGCTTTCCACTACTAAAAGGGCGGTAATTCACTTGTGGTTAAATTTCCTATCAGGCTATCGCAATAACTCCACAAATTCGTATATCAAGTCAATAGCCCCTGATAAGTAACCAATTGACCATGTGAATATCGTTAGGAATAACCTAAAAAATAAAAGACAAAAGGACACAAGTTGCAGCGATTTCCAAGATATATGTAACAATTTGACATGCATAAATGATCGGGATCTGTGTCAAAATATTGGGTTTCTGATCTTTGTTTTCCCAATCACTTAGTATCGAAGGAAATTTGTGCTGGCCAAGTATCCCAAAAGTCCATATAAGAAAAAAAACAATAAAGGATAAGGGTCTAATGAGTTCAGGCATACTATATCCAGATGATCTAATTACCGCCAGTCGTAGATGCAGAGAAGATACTTTCACTGACCTTTATAATAACCAAGTGAGCTGGAAGGTTCACACCCCATGCTAATGTACTGGTGCAAACCAACACCTGAAAAAATGCATGAAAAGAGTATGATATCATAAACAGGTATACAACTATATATTTAGACAGGTGTTAACTTCTTTAAAAAAATTATATTCCAATCCTAGAGTTGTACAGATTAATTGCCTGAATCTTGTTGTTTGCGAAAAGTTCCTCAACAAGAGATCGATCCTTATCGTTCAGTCCTGCATGGTGCAACCCGATGCCAAATTGCAGCGTGTGCCTGAGATTTTGATCAGTTACTTGGGAAAGTATCATCTGTAACGAATCTTCAGGTATAGCAAGGAATTGTCTTGGGTGCTCATCTGAAGCTGCATACTTTA